TGCATAGAATACTTGACCTTGAATTTCATACTTTCTTGGCATATCCTCCAAGATTAAGTTGCTATTAATCAAAACTCAAGTAATCTAATGAACAAACTCCCTCCATAGGAATATCACCTAGAAGCTACTTAAAGGGTAACTTAGGTTATAGAGCAGTTGATCCAAAGTATCTTGGGGGACAGTGGTCAGATAAAGGACCCCATTGTCCTCTAAGGACATTCCTAGATTCCGGCACAGAAACTTGTCATCTTATAAGCCCCTACCCCACTCCAGATTCTTCCTCATGGCCTCTGTGTGTGGAGAGTTCTCTCTGGGGGAGAGTTCTTCCCAGATTTCTATCCTGTATGAGGTGAGGCAGAACCTTTTTTTCTACCATGGCCTCGAACATAATGTTCTCGATGTCACATGCTTCCTAAGCCTGCCCTTGACGGGACTCAGACATCAGGCCTCCTCAGTCTCCCCTGCAGCCCCACCAACTGCAGTGCCCAGTCCTGACTGAGCCTTGGGTTCTTGCTGGCCAGGAGAGGTGGTGGTCTGGAATAGAGCTATGGTCTCTTTAATAGGGATACATATCTGGCTTCTCCTGGAATGAGAACAAATTCCAGGAGCACCAAAACTACAAGGTGTGTCAAAACCTATCACAGTTTTACCCCTGGGAAGCTAGGTTGTGCCTGAGGCAGAGGATTAAGAGGCATATTAATGTCAATAACCTGCGATCCTGAACTCAGGCAGCCTGTTATGGTGCCTAGAATCAAAGGCAAATAAATGTACTAAAGCTGCAAACAATTTTGTATTATTCTTGACTGATGATGCCAATAGGTAATAGCAAGTATGAAATGTACTGCCCAAAGTCCACCTGCTTCTTATGCAGCACGTTGGACAGAGAAACTCTTCTATGAAGAAGGAAGCTGGTCTAGAGCCAACATGAGATACTGATAAGTTAAAAGGTCACCAACTGGGAGCAGTGCCTTAATTTCCTAGGACTGCTGTAACAAAGTACCACAAATTGTGTGGCTTAAAACAAGTAATTTATTCTCTCACTGTTCCAGAGGCTAGAAATCTGAAATAGAGGCATCTGTAGTGTTGGCTCTTTCTGGAAGAGTTGAGAGAGCATCTGTTCATGACTCTGTCCTAGTTTTTGGTGGTTGCCAGTAATCCTTGGCGTGTTTTGGCTTATAGATGCATCACTCCTATCTCTGCTTCCATCACCACATGGCCTTCCCCTGCGCGTCTCTCTGTGGTTTCACACTTTCTTATAAGGACATCAGTCAGTGAATTTAAGGCCCACCCTCATCTAGTTTGGCCTCACCTGAAAAGTTCCTGTTTCTAAATAAGGTCGTATCCTGAGGTTCTAGGTAAACATGAATTTTGGAGGAACACTATTTGGCCCAGGACAAGGGAGAAACAACTCAGCTGTGGTCTTGATGATGATGAACCAGTTAGCGATTGGTGTCCAACAACCATTCAGAGATCTACTTAAGTATTTCTGATGACAAGACAATCTTCCTCAAGTTCTTCAATTATCTTGGGTTTTTTTATTTTAAAAATCCATTATGTAATAATGACTGTGCATTACTGAGGCATAACGGTGGCTAAGAATCTGTTTATGGTAATAGTTGATTTTTGGGATATGGTCTGGGAAGCTGATCCCCAAGGCAGAGAAACAAAGTGGGGTTCCCTGACCCTGCCACCCCAAACTTCTTCTGAGATAATGAACTGTACCTGGGAGTCCGCACAGTAAAAATCACGAGTGTTCGTCTCAGAAGGACTGCACGTCTAAGTGGGTGAGGGCACGACGAGAGAAGACGGAAGGTTGAAGAGCTGGGAGGGAGAGAAGATGGTTGGGCTGTGCAGCTCCAGCTCTGGAGGAGTGGGAAGCCTGTCCTGGGCCCACAAAGAGATGTGTGGCCAGTCCACCCTCACGGGCGCCCACAGTCTTCCTAGGAATGTGTGACGGTGAGCATTCTAAAATCCAGGTTTTTGCTGAAAAGTCACATTAAAAATTTACCCAAAGTTCTCATATATTTTGGTTCTAACCTTAGAATGCCAACAAGAATATGACCATATTCAGGAGAGAAATATTAGCAAAATTCTACCACTTCTTATAGCAAAAAGTCATGAGGAAGCTTGCTGTGAAGGTTCACCATTCCAAAGCTCTATTCCTGTGGAGGGGCTTGCCCTGGGACAGGCAGGTCTACAATCCAAGTTCTTGAAAACAGGGAACTGTAGGATGCTGAGCCAGGTGCCTCTGCTTGGGCGGGCTCCCTGGTGAGTCCAGTAGGCAAGGGGATTCTCACAGACTGGCTTTGAGGAGAGAGTGCTAGCATGGAGAGGGCCACTTGAGGATCTCGAACTTCAGTCTGGGAAAGCCCAGGATATAGCCCCTGGGCGCCAGGCCACATGGGAGATCAAAGTAGGGTGATGCAGTAACCAAGCAGAACCAGTAACGACAAACTCCACCCTAATGACCTGGGCTAATCCCCACTGCTCCGAGACTATATTCCATGCACTGTGCTAAGCCCTGTGCAATGCTGACCTCGTGCAATTCTCACAACAACCTCATGAGGAATATTCTCCTTTTTCATCTGTAACACAGGGAGAGTAATAAAACCTAAGTGACTATAGAGATTAAATTTACCTAGAGGACTTAGAGCACTGCCCAGTGTATTCAGTCTCATTTATTGCCTCCACCTACTTGTGATCGGGCTCTGAATTTTTCCATCAGGCTCATCCCTTTTGATCAAGCATCATTCATAGAAGGTGTTTGGCCCCTGAGCCCCTTCCATCAGCACACTTTAGCTCCTTAGGTTTTCTCCAGGGAGTAGATGTACCAGGGCAATGCAGCAGCCCTTGGGTCAGGAAGGAGAAATGAAATTTAGAAGGGGGACAAATAAGAGAGGGAGAAGACAATAAGGACAGGAAACTTTTCCCACTTTGCAGTTGAGCCTGGGGTGGGTCTTCCCCTGGGGCCCTAACCCTGAGACATCGGAGCAGCATCTGGACACAGAAACTAGACAAGCCACAGTCTGGAACTTTTGATCCCTCAGACTCCAAACATTCACTTCCCACCTGGAAAACTTCAGACCCTGAATTCTTGCTCTTAGCAACCTATGTAATGTTTCTGAGGGTTCTATTTGGGCCACATGTGATGTGAAAAATCTCTCCTCCCCAAGCATCTTGCACATCCCCGGCACCTCCCGGAAGGTCCAGCCATGGCAAACCCCTCATCTTCACACACCATATGTCCACACATCATACACTCACTGCCACACAACACAGATTCACAAGTTACACAATACACACTCACATGTCACTTAGTCACACATTACACACCACACACATCATACATTCACACACTAGCATGTCACACATAACACATTCCCACTCTACCCATCACACTGTCACACACAACACATATTTTGCACACTGACATATCGCAGTTGTGTACCACTCATCTCTCACACAGCACAGGCTACATTTCACACTCACACTCAGGCCCACAGTCACACTCACAACACATTCATTTGTTCTCTGTCTCCAAAGCAAGCCCAAGCCTGGAACCCGGCAAATGCCAGAGCCTAGCTGTGTGACAGCCGTAGGGCATTAAGCAGAGCCCTCTAAGTCAGGAAGGGTGGAGGCTGAGGGGTCCCAAGACTTCCTGCAGTCACTCACTCTAGCCAGAGGCCTGAGGCTGCCCACCAACACCTCTGCCCAGGGAAGCTGGAGGGAGTCAAGAGTACAGCTGCTCTGGGGAGGCAGAGGCACAGATAGGAGTGGGCAGGGCAGACTGCCGCCCCCACACACGCTTCCTCTGCACCTGCACTGAGCCTCACACTTGAATTCCACTGAGGGTGTTGTCCTTCAGTGTTTTGGAGGGCATGTGACAAGTCCGGTGTGCAGGGGCCTGGGGGAGCAGTGTGCAGTGAAGGGCCTGGAGGTACTGTTAGCCACATCATCCCAGAAGGGTGTGGGGAGGAGCCTGAGTTCTCCATGGGCACGAGAGGCAGCAGGGACTGGAGGTGTGGCCCTGGGAACCCACCTAGGATGTAACCTCCAGAAATACGGCACTGGGAATTCTCCCATAAGTGATAACCCCACGCATATCCATAGTAAAGGGCTCTTAAAGAGCTTCCACTAGTGTGCTTTCTGCTGGGCCTCATGAAAGCCATGTGAGGAAGGCAGGGCAGGGACCATCCCTGTTTTATCAATGAGAATGCTGAGGCTCAAAGCCTAGAACCCAGGACTCCTGACTGGAGCTCAAAGATCTTTCCGTGATACCCCTTGGCTGATTCCCTCAGTGTCTCTTCTCCATCAGTTATTGGGTTGTGACCTTCGACCCTTGAGGTCCTGAAGGGATAGCTGCACCTGGCAGCTGCATCTTTAAGCAGAGTTCTGTGTGACCTGTCATGCCCTGCAGTCACTGGACAGGGGCCCCTGCCAAAAGGTAGCACCTTAAGAAGATAGTTAGGGGAGATGAAGGGTGGCTGATTTGAGGTTAAGCCCCAGGAATAATATTGTGTAGGAGGGAATGCTAGGGATCATCTACTCCCACCTTTATTTCCAGATAAAGAAACTGAGGTTCAAAATATAGCTAGTATTCCCACACAGTATGTGCTCAAACATTTGTCAGATGAGTACAAAGACTATAACCGGCACCTCCGACTCAGGTCAAAGCTTCTGTCCACACAGCCTTCCTCAGATGGAGAAAGCTGTGAAGAGGCCCTTTTATCCTGAGGACAAGAAAAAAAAGTCAAGGGACTCTGGGTAAGACATCAATGAATATACATAACACATGGGAGGCTCCTCCGAGAAAAAGTGCCCAAGACAAAGAAATATGATGCTTGGTAGTTTCTAAAATCTACCTAGAAACACTTTGAACCCTGGTAACCCATTCTTATTCAACACAACATGTTTTCTTAACTCCTGACTTCCTCTGTGGTTTGCTGGTATTTTCTTTTTTAGTCTTAAAGCTAGTACGCAAACAAGAGGGGCTGTTATTTCCTCATTTTCAAGGCTTGATTCTCTCACATGGGCCAGAAATATCTTTCAAGTTCCAGATTGTGACAGGTTCCTGGGTGAGCAGTAGGTCTCTGTCACTCTGTCCTGGGGCTTTTGGATGGGACCTTGCTCTGGAAGAAGCCATGGACCTCTGGCTTTGGTTACTTTACTTCCTACCAGGTAAGTGCCATGGGGGAAGAGCTTGCACATCTTTTTTTTTTTTTTAAGATTTTATTTATTTATCTTTAGAGGGGAAGGGAAGGAGAGAGGGAGAGAAACATCAATGTATGGTTGCCTCTCATGCATCCCCTGCTGGGAACCGGCCTGCAACCCAGGTATGTGCCCTGACTGGGAATCGAACCGCGATTGTCTGGTTCGCAGGCCCGTGCTCAATCCACTGAGCTACACCAGCCAGGGAGCTTGCACATCTTAAGAGGTTTAAATTGGCCACAGGCAGAGGAGTAACTCGTGTCTTCAGCTCTGATGTTCCTGGACAGATTTAATTACAAATGAGTACCTAGGTCAGGACAGAGATGGAGGCCGCAGGAGGCTTTGGAAATCCTCCACACTCCTGCTAGTGGCCCTTTCTCCACTCCAGACACATCTGTTTGGCTCACGTATTGACCCATAAGGGCTGAAGGTGCCATCTCTCCCAGACATATAGCCTAGTAATATGGAATTTTAAAGTAAGTGGCACCAAAGTTCTTTCTTCTTACCTCTACCTTCACTTTCTTTGAATCTCTTTCATTCTGGTTTTCAACTTTCAACTCTAAATGAAGACTCCCTAATGCATTCGGTAGTTCTAGTCCATTTCCAGAGCTCCCTATTTCAGTTCACAACCATCTCCCGGGCACCCCCACTTCAATATCCCACCCAGATCTGAATGGAATGCAACATGCCTAACAGCTTATTTCAAATTCCTCATTGGTCACCATCCAAACAAGCCAATCTATCTAAACTACCTCTGATATTAGCCATAAAATGTTACAATGGCTTTTTTTAATCACCTCTTCCCATTTGTTCCTACCTATATTTTGATCCAATCAATGGCCAACCCATTGTACTTTCTAGATTTTTATTTACCAGGATGAGAAGCAATGGCAGCCTCTACTAGAGAGGGAATGGATTAAAAAAAAAAAAGAACAAGTGGTCACCTCTTACCTAGATAGTGACAGGTGGTCACTTCCTCCAATTTGACCTGCCTATAGTTCCATCTGATTTCATCAAATGCTGCCAAGAAGGAGATTAAAGCAAAGACAAAGGAGTGGCCATTAAACATGGCAATAAGAAAAAATTGGGTGACCTTGATTAGAGCAGTTTCAGTGGAATGTTAGAGACAAAATTCTGACAGGTGTAGGTAGAAGAGGAATTGGTAGGTATGCAAGTGGATTCAGTGATTTTGCTGGCTCATTTGAGAAAGAGAACAGACAGAGGCAGCAGCCAAAGGGGAGGCAAAAGTCAGACAAGGCATTTTCAACATGGGCCCTGTGGAGCAAGTATGTAAGCCATGGTGATGCAGGAAGAGAAGAAAGCGATGAGGCAGGCAGAGAAAAGAATAATCATAGAAGAGAAGTTCTAAAGAAGGTGAGCAGGATGGACTCAGGATACAGGTGAAGGCACAGGCTTCCAAAAGGAGGAACAAAAGGAGTGAATTCCATTCACCGGAACAAAGGGCAGACTGCATGTCTGGACAGACATGGGTTCGTGCATGAGGAAGCAGAAAGTTAGGTTGGATAGTTCTCATCCTTTAAAAAAATCCATGCTCCAGCTGAAAAATATAAAAGTCTCAGGCCAGCTTCCTTCTTCCAGATATTCTGCCATGACTTGATTTATAAGCTCCTCATCACCACTCACCCCTTAGAGAAGCATGGCTACATAGAAACCAGAGTCTACCTCCAGAGCACTGTCACCAGCCAAGACCATGTGGTTCTTTACCTTATTGCATTATGAAAATTATATTTCCCATGTTCTGAATGTCTATTTATATCTAATTACATAATTAGTGACTTTTGGAATCACAAATATACCTTCCTCCCCTATAGCTAGCATCACTTTAAATCAAGTCACCCAATTATGGGTGATTAATGTCACTTAGTAACTTCTCTAAAATACCATTAAATATCTTGTTTCCTTTATATAGCTTCTTCCACCCCTCCCTTTCTTCCCAGAATCATTTGGAAATGTGCTGTAGTTATAGCCCAGAATTACAAAACTTTAAGGACACCTGGGATGTTTATTTACACTGCAAATGTCTAGGTCCCAGTGTGGACCAATGTAATCATCATGCTTAAGAGTATAACAAAGTATCTGAATCCCAGCAAGTTCCCCCCACATGAATCTTAGCACATTGTGTGTGAGTTCTAAACCAGGAAGGTATATCTCTTTCCTCTGTTAGGGAAATCTGCTTTCTGAGACTTGGACAAAAGCTACAAGCTACTGTGAACTCTAAGGAGAGCTGGAATCTGGTCATTTTCATCTTGTCACCTAGTTCTTCCTTGGGACCAGAGCTCAGTGTACCCAGCAGCTTTGCTTGGGCTTCATCTGTCTAGTGTTTGCACAGTAAGGACATCTTAGCTCAGGCTGCTGTAACAAAGTAACATAGAATGCGTAGTTTAAACAACAGGTGTTTATTTCTCACAGTTCAGGAAACAATGTTCAAGACCAAAGTGCCAACAGGTGTTCTATTCCTGACTTGCAGATGGCAACCACCTCCCTGTGCTTATCAGACCTTTTCTTGTATGCATGAAGAAAATATGGACACTGATCCCACTATGAGGGCTGCAGCCTCCTGACCTCACCTAATCCTAATCACCTCTCAGAGGCCCCACCTTCTGACACCATCACATTGGGGTGAGGGTTTCAACACCTGGATTTTGGAGGGTTACAAACGTGCAGGCCACAACAGCGGATGGTGCGAGGCCACTGGAAGTGTCTGCCTAGGTGATAACTCCTCCTTGCTCTGTCACACACCTGACCATTTTATAGCATCTTGTGAAGCATGCACTGGTCTGCAATGCCCACAGTGTTATGGTTGGAGAATCAAGACAAATTCACATGGACTACTGAGTCCTGTGGAGGAAAAGGGACAGCACAGCTACTCCCTCAAGGGGGGAGTGCCTCAGAACAGCCTGGCCACCCTCTCAAGGGGAGAGTGTGCTGACCATTGCCTAGACAGGCTTTTATTGTTTTTTGTTTTTTGCATGGGAGTTCAGGTACAACTTATTAATCATTGTCAGGCAATAAACAGTAGATAGCATACAAAGAACTATTAGGGCTTCTTCTAAGTCAGGGTCTATCAGCTAAAAGGCTACAGAACTTTGGGAAAATAAACTCATTTTCTGCTTGGGCCTTTATCATTTAACTAAGAGCATTCTTAGCAAAGCAGGTTGCACAGGATTTCACATATCCTTTCTCAGGCCTGATCACCTGGGGAGCCCGCCATTCCCAGCACAGGGCTGCACCACTCTCAGTCATTGTTTTCAGGCATTAAGTCAGGCAGAGGAGGAAGATAGCCAGGGAATTCTTGGAGACTTCTCACAGACAGACTGAGGACTCAGGCTTCATCAAAGCCAGGGGCGAGGGTCCATCACCCCCTCTTTGCTGCAGCCCCCCAAGTCCTTCCTTGAGGGCATCCCAAGTGATCATGTCTGGCTTAGTTTGCCCCCCCCCGAGGGGTAGTACCCGTCATTGACTAACCAACCAAGCGTTGGGGGCCAGAAATGGATGAAGCAGAAGCAGCACTCCTGCCAAGGAAATAAGCTTTGTCTCCTTAGTGGTTTAAGGTCCGAAGGTCCCTCACTAAGCCTTATCCATGGGGGGCAGATACAACTCCTGAAACCAGGCAGGGTGGTTCCCAACAATCTTGCTCTTGGGGAAGTAGCATTCACTCCCACTTTTGGCTGAGCTGGTCCAGACTCATTCATGTGTTCACTGTCAGGTGTTGGGATTGACAATAACTGCAGGTGGGCATCATCTGGACACACAGGGGAATTTCCCCACCCCCTTGACTGGGCCTGTGCCATTTGCACAGGTTCTCTTCCATTGCCATATTCCAGTCATGAGACTACCAGGGGATTTAAAGCAGTGTTGGGTTGTTTGTGTAAGGGTTTCCATGTCAGATCTTATGTATCTGTCTGGCCCCTCTGCTTCCCCTACTACGTTACAACAGCTGCACTGCCAGATAGCAACACACTCCTGAAAATGTTCCCTTCCAGCCCCTCTCCAGCCTCTTTGCCCACACTTCACATTCCCAAGACTTTTTCTACCACTTTACATGTCTCCATGTTCTTCCCTCTTCTTAAACATCCTCCTCAGGTCTCTGTTCACCCAGAAGCTCCAAGCTCCACTTCTTTCCTTGACTCTCCTCATTTTGCCAAACTCCCAGGAGTTTTTCTTAATGTGTGGTCTCTGGATGAATTTCAGAAAGTTTCTGAACTTCTTTCCAGCCCATGAACAGACCAGGCTCTCTCTCATATCCCGGCCTTGACGGCAGCTGTTTACATTGCTGGAAAGCATCTCTTCTCCACCATCTAAGTCCCCCAGTACCACCCCAACACACACATGTCACCCCAGGAACCCGCTTCCCTGAAATATTCACACGCTTATTGGACCCTCTTAGTTGACAAGCATACCCAGTCATACCTCTCCAGCTGGTTCAGCTGCATTAGACCTGCCTTCTTTAGCCACAGCGCAGCTTTTGATGTCAGAGACTCATGAACCACATCTTTTGTCCCTCCATGCTCCACACCCTCCCTGGAGCACACACAACATACACACCTGTCCACACATGCACAAGCACTCATGCACACCTTTGCTTTCCCTGTATATTCCCTTCTGCAGTGAAGACAATCATTATCACTCAGTCTCCCTCTACACCCAGTCCTTCAGGTCCCAACTAAGGTATCACTCCCTCCAGATAGCCTTCCTTGAACTACACCATCTCTCTGCAACAGCCTGGATGAGGTGCTCTGCCGGGGTCCAGCCTCGGCAGGTCTCAGGGTCCCCAAAGGATGGATGGCACATGCAATGAATGAAGAGTCAGTCAGACACCCAATTGGATGCTGGAGAACAGCCAGCCTCTGTGGGTCTGACCAAACTCTTGGAGTTTGATTTAAGCTTTATTTTTATAGAGATTGTTATATAACATTAAAGGAACAAGCGTATGGTATGATCCGTTAAGCAGAAAGAATCAATACAGAGGTAACTAGGAAAAGTACAGGAAATTCCATCGATTCAGTTATGCTAAACAAAGGTTATTTTGACCAGGAGAGCCATCAATCAGAAAATTAGAAATAGCTGCATGTACAGAGTTTTAAATGTCTTATTGATGAATAGATGTTTATTAAAGTTCTTAGAATTTGGCAGGGGTCAAGAGGATATGCCAGACCCAACAGTGGTTACAGGAAATTTATTACAAGGCCTTTGTGGTGTCTAACTTAGCTATCTATCTTCTTGTCTAGAATCTTACTTTATGTACTTTGGATTCTAACTCCTCAGCAATTGCTTCTAAGTGCTTGGTGTGTAATAGTTAACCAGCTTCTCCTGCTTCTTTACATGTCTAATTCCATTAATATATATTACTGTCCAAGGTAGAGGAGGGGCTGTTACTCTATCAACATTTAGATGTTCAGGGGCTACCCCATTAGGGGGGACTTTTGTTCTTTGGCCAAGAAATCATTTTGTACAACCTCACTGGAATTCTGTGGATCATTGGGCCTGAAATACAGGTGTCTAAAAATCCCATCACCTATTAATCACAAAGACAGACATGCAAGGAAAGATAGATAGGGAATCCAGCCACAGTTGCCTCTGCTGTGCAGATGCATCTAATCCATCTTGACTGTGTCAAGGGACGGGTGTCGGTCGGCTCCTGACAGTGCTCCCACTTGATGCTTCCAAGAAACCCTGCACGTCTCGGTGTCTTTTCACAGGATCCGTGACACTGTGCTGTAGTGGCTGTCCATTTGTATCACCCACTAAATGATTCCTTCTGTGAGGGGAGGAATGCCAACTATCTTACCGTTCCACGAAAGGCATTTAATACACGCTTACTAGATGACTTAATAAACAGAACTGGGTGTGAATGGCTGTTTTGGCTGAATGGATCTGAACAAAACAAAACTGGACAGAGAGACCCATTGCAGAAAAACTGTACCAAGCATTGTAACACCACACTTAAGCTGAGGGTTGTGTGCTCTTTGGGGTTATCATGGAATATCCTCTCTCCTTGAAGCAGTTTTGACTATATTCTTGAGGGGTTGGTGTCTGGGTCTTTATGAGTATGGGTTTGGTGATGAAGCTGAGGGTTATGTTCAGGCTCGGGCTAGGGAGAAGCGTGGCTGAGACACAAGTTTGGGCACAGAGATGAACATAGAGATGGGCCGAGGATGTAAACAGGAGGGGGCATGGGAGGAAGCTGGGGATGAGGCTAGGGCTAGAGATCAGGGTAGGACTGAGGTTGAGAGCTGGCTGAGGCTGCAGCTGATAATGAGAATGGGGCTGTTCTAGAGATGAGCATGAGGCTGGACTGGGGCCCGGGCTGGAAACCGGGCTGGAGTTGGGGGTGTGGCTGAGGATGAGGCTTCCTACACATTACCTCCTTCTCCCTGCAGTATCTGGAGCTCTGAGGAAGCTCCCAGAAGTCAAGCTGGAGGGGATGCTGGGGAGATCTATTACCATTGACTGTCCACTTCCTAAAGTGTCTGTGAGGGTATATCTGTGCCGGGAGGTGGCCAAGTCTGAAGCATGTATCACCGTGGTGTCCAGAACATTTGTCAAGGAGGAGTACAAACACCGAACCACCATGAATCTGTTTCAAGACCAGAAGCTGTTCAGAGTGGAGATTTCAGAGCTGACCAAGAATGACAGCGGAGTCTATGCCTGTGGGGCAGGCGTGCACACAGACCGAGGCAAGACCAAGAAAGTAATCCTGGATGTCCACAATGGTAGGTGCCTGACCTGACTGAGACCCAGCCCACCCTGAAAACATTTCCACTTGGGAAGGCTGGGACAGCCATCGAACTCTAGGGTCCTCCAGACTCATGTTCTTGCCATATTAGTCAATCAGACGATAAGTGGTACTTACGTAGTTGAAATCTCAGAGAGTCAATTAAATTCATGGTCCACAGAATTTCCTATCAAACCAGACTGATGCTCCTCTTATATTGTATTTTATCATCCTACCCAGAACATAAGGGAGGTGGGGCTTGAGACTGAGAAGGTTATTGGAAGCAAAAGGACATAATTGTCCCATTGGAAATATCAGGGATTAATATAAAGAAAAGACAGTCGTTTCTCGGGCCTCATTTGTAGGTCAAACTTGCTGCTTTATGATCTGATCCTTTCCATATTTCTGCTGAGTCCTGCCTTTCTCCTTGTTTCCATCAACTCTGTCACACATGTGCAGCACTAATTCAACAGTCTAAAACCCAGGGGCCTCTGACAGCTTTACAGGGACTGTTGGCTGGGTAAGGCTGAAACTTTTCTCTTTCAGGGAAGCCCCTAGCCCCCTTATTTTCCTGCTCCTCTTGTTGGACCCTGCCCTCATCCCCTCACCACCATCCATCCTGGATGAGTCTGCTTCAGCTCCTACCATGTCCCTTCCCCAGGCCCCCTCTCCTCCCAGAGGCCACCAGTGTATTCTTCTTGCCTCCACTAGACTATGAGCCATTCTGGGAAGAGGAGCTGATGCCTGAGATTCCACCATGGTTTCAGGAACTTCAACAGGTGTCGGTGCCCCCTTGGCTCCGGAATCCTGCCCATGCCAGTCTTTTCGAATTCATCACACCCAAAGGTCAGTTTCCCAAAGCTAGGGTAGGAGATGTAGGGAAGGTGCTATGGCATTGTGAAAATGGAAGGGGGTTGTGTTCAGTTCATAGAGTGATTAGCAGAGCAGAGCTGAGTCTCAGATGAATATTTTCCTGCCCCAGGAGAGGGTTCCTAACTGAAATCAGCTTCTAAATCCTTCCGGCCCAGCCTACAGCTTGAGTTCTGGAATTTACATCACCACTAGGTGGCACCACAAGTAACTAAGTTTGTGCTCCATTCACAAAATCTAGCTCTTTCACAATGATCAGGAAACCAAAATGAGGCAGACGTTTCCCAGCTGGAGTTCATTATGATTCCTGATGCCCTCAGGGCAGTTGTCCAGTTGCTGGCATACAGTGATTTTTTTAACAACTCTATTTTACAGTGAAAAAAAATAATGATTAAAGTAATGATACTGTTACATTTCCATATCCTTTTCTTGTTTTAAATGCAATTTGACATGCAATATTTTCCTCATATCCACACATCTACCCTGTAAGGTAGATACACTAATTGAACATTGTGTCACTAAAGGGATAGTGTAACTGTACCCCAGCTTGTGACTGACGGGTGTAGGACAGTGGAGAAGAGACAAGCACATGGCAGAGAGGAACTGAACTACAAACAAGGTTTTCCATTATCTGAGGAAGGCAACTGTTCTGCCTGGGAAGTCAGGGAAGGCTTCCTGGAGAAAATGGTTTTTGGAGTAAATATGGATAAAAGTTATCATGTGTAGGTGGCATGTTAAGAAGGCATTTCGGGCCATGAGGAATGCCAGAACAAAGGTAGTCTAGGTGAAAGTGAAGGGCATATTCGGGAAAGAGATGGTGACCCCACCCTGCTGGAGACCAGAATGCATGTATAGATGGTCACTCTTTCCTGCTATCTCCTGCAGCAAGCATATCAGCTCCACGGACAGAGGCCCCTCCAGCAAGCCACTCCTCCCCCACCACCCCAGTCATTCACCACCCTCGAGTTTCCAGATCATCTTCAGTGGCTGCTGCCCAGACCACAACCCTCCTGCCATCCACCACGGACTCAAAGACCTCAGCACTGGAAGGGCTGCTCAGGCACCAGACAGCCAGCTACGATCATCACACCAGGCTTTACAGGCAGAGGTAAGAGGCCTCCGGCCTCCAGGATGGGCTAGAAATCAGGCAAAATAATCTAGAGTTAGGAGATCCACTGAAATCTTCCTGAAATATCTACCAACCCAGACCCTTCTTGTCTTTGTCTCTAGAAGGCCCCTGTGAAATAGACTACTTATGGATATTGCACATCAACTCACCAGTGCTCTTAACGTGAGTGGGCCAGTAGTCAATGGCCCACAGGTGATCCTGCGGGAGCCAGACCCAAAGTTTTCAGTCACTCAGCATTCATTCCGATCTGTTTTGATAGAGAAAAGCTAAATGAGAATAAAATGTGTTACTACTAAAATTAAGTATTATAATTTCTTTCACGTGTTTCCTTTTACTTTTGCAATGTGGCAATTGGGAAATTTAAAATTACTGACTCACTTTATACTTCTATTGGATAGCACTAGTTGAAAGGCAAGATGCACTCCGGAAAAGTGCTGCAATTGGACCACAAGGTGGCAGCATTAGAGCAGCCGCCACAGAAAAGCTACAATAATTGGGATTCTTTTCGCCTAGGCAAAGATAAGCATGTTAGTGAGAAAAGGGACCTTCAGCATCATTTGAAGAAACTGAGACCATGAGATCTAAGTGGTTTCAAACGGAACCAGGATTCCTGATTATTAGTTCAAAAAATTACAACAGCCTACTAATAGAGAATTCAAGTCAGTTCAATCAACATTTTCTTACTGAGTGCTAGGCATGGTGCTATGTCAAGATGTAGAACAGTGAAGACATGAAATATGTAGGTCTTGCCTTACTAATGAAAGTCTGACTCTGACAAGCATGACTGCTATGAACACAAGAACTGGGACCGAAAGAAAAGAACTGATCCTGATTTACCACGATCAGGGAAGAAAAGATGACCTATGTGTTGGTCCTTTGTGGAGAAAATGGAGGGAAGGCCTTCTAGGCAGAGGGTGCGCCATGAGAAAAACATCCTCTCTTCCACAGTTAAAAGAAACTAAGTCATTTGATATTTGCAATAATCTTGTGAGGAAACTGAGGTGCAGGAAGCTAGAGGGCGATCTGACATTTGATGACTGCTGCTTAGACCAGGTGCGTGAAGTTCTTTTTATCCACTATTCTGTGCATCCTTAAATGGTTCTCTGAAGGAGGTTTTACTAGACTCATTTATAGGTAAATGAGGCTCAGAGAAGTTAGGAGACTGGTTCGAGATCACAGAGCCAAGAAAAAGCTGAATCGAAGTTTGAACCCAGGTTTCCTGACTCCAGAAACAAGGCTCTTTGTTGTGAGGGGCAAAACTTCGATGTTAACAAAGGACAAACTAAGCCATCTCCAAAAAGTCACCGCTGGAGAGGCTTCCTGGAACCTCCCCCCCCTTACTCGACTCTTCCTCCTCTCTCCCTCTCCTTCCCTCCCCAGAGCCTTCAACCGTGGCCCAGGGTCTCGACTGGAAGGCCAAGGATTTCACATTCTGATCCCCACCGCCCTGGGCCTCATCCTGCTGACACTTCTGGGGCTGGTGGTGAAAAAGGTCATCCAAAGGAAGAAAGGTGAGAGGTTGGGGGCTCGGCTAGGGAGAGCTAAGCGGCCCAAAAAGCCCGGAGCATTCAGACCCCCGCGGATCCCCAGGAAAACTCCCGAGCTTTGGATCAACGGCCTGGAGTCTGGGGAGCGAGGGATGGGGGAGAATGGTCCGGAAATGGGGACGACGAGGAGCACCGACGGGGCCCTCCAGTCTTCGGTGGAGGAGTGGAGGCCAAGACTGCCGGGCACTTTCTGAGCCGTTCTCCTGTTCTCCTGGGGCTTTTGGCCGAAAAGCTCTCTCCAGGCGGGTCCGCCGACTGGCCGTGAGGATGAGAGCCCTGGAGGCCCCTCGGCGGCCCCTGTCGCAGCGGCCCCCGGTGTCACAGTGGCCACGCTCCCAAAACAACGTCTACAGCGCCTGTCCTCGGCGCGATCCCGGGGCCCACGGGGCGGGTAAGCAGGGGTGGCGAGTGAGCCGGCTGGCGAGCAGGGGGAGGTACGGGCGAAGGGGGTGGGGATGACGGGGAAGTTAGTTGGGTAGCAGAAGGTGGGTTCGGAGGAGCGGGGAGTGGGGGCGGGACCAGTCCGGCAGCCCCGCGAGCTGGAGCGGCGGACGCAGCGCTCCGCGCCGGGAGGAAAGCCCGGAGCCGCCGGGGGGACCCCTCCTACGCCGATGCCGGACGCTCGGCCACGCCCTCATCCCGGCCTCCTCGGTTCCTCTAGGTGAGCGGGTTGCACCGGTCCCCGAACCCGGAGGGTCTGCGCTTCCCGCCCCGCAGCAGGTAAGCTCCGCCCCTACCTAGACCAGCGGCAGAGGCGGGACCCCGGGGCCCTAGAGCTGGGCTAGGACCCAGAGCAGTTACTGCAGCCGCGCGTCGCTCCTGGGCGCCGGCTTTCCGCGCAGTTCCTAGGCTGAGTCCGGGGACCAGTCGTTACTGTTTCCTCCTTCGAGGGCGTCAGTAGACTGGACCACCTAACGATGTGGTAGACTTAGTTACCTGGCTTTTAGCCAAGCATTTTATCTGAGTGCTTAGTAGAGGCTGATAGATGGTAGTCGTACAGTGCATGACGGACTTTCCATGTGGAAGAGATTCAATTTCTAGCTCTTAAGGAGGTAGAAGCTACGCACTTTCACGCTAAGATGAGGAAGAACTTTCTGTTACTCCCGAAGATGAGAGGAGGTGGTTTACCCATTTCTGGAGGCGCTTAAGCCAGGCCCAGAGGATGACCTGCCCAATGCCAAGATACAGAGGATTCAACACCTCGGGTGAGGAGGTTCCTCTTGAAATCGAGGAATGGGCATAGGGAACTCAGGTTTCTATCAGTGGCCATGGGCCGGTGGGTAAAAAGCCTTTAGACTGTCCACTCATCTTTGTTTTCCTAAATTAAAACAGAAAAAACAAGATTTTATTTCCTAAAGTAGCCCACGGCAGCTAAAACACTATTTCCTTAGGAACCAAAAAAACTAAGTGTGGCCAATGTCCCTTTCAAAATTACGGTGTTGACTAAACTAAGCAACAGACCCTAAACCAGAGGGCTCACAAGATGGAAGCTTTTTGCTCCCAAGTAAAGGAGAGGGGACAGAAGGAAGTGGCCTGAGCCAGGAGGTCATCCAGGGACTAAAATACCTTCTGTCTTATTATTGCTCCACCATCCTCTGGAGTCTTGTCTGGTCCATGGTCAATGCTCAGTAGTCACATCCAGCCCGCAGAGGGAGAAAAAGAAAGCAGGTTCTTTAAGACTGGATCCTGAAGCCTTAGGAATGGCTTCTTCTCGCATCCCATTGGCAGAGAATTGTAGACCCTGGCTGGGCAATCGTGTGCCGCGCTAAAATGGGGAGCCCAGCAACAAGTGACTGCTCTTGCCACAGTCCTCTCCAGTTTCTTGAGTTCACTGTCCCTCACCTCTGCTAAAGAGGGTTCACAGTAGCACAGGTAGGTCCAGCAGTGCCCATCCACTCTACCCACGCTACCCTCACACATGCCCTTTGCCCTGGACTGCCCTGTGGCCACACGTGCCCTCACCTGGGACTATAGCGTGCTCAAGTTTTACCCTTCCTCTTTACTTGCAATTCTTATTCCCACTACTGGGGACAAAAATCTCAATGGAACAAGTTCACAACAAAGTGCATATGATTAATGACTGAATATTTTAACCTTCACAAGGAATATTTTAATTTTTTAAGTCAAATAAATTAATCTCAACTGGCAAAGTGTAACAGGTAATGGGAGATAAGTACAAAAACTAACAGGTCTTTTCAATGAGCACTTACTGAATACCTACTGTGTTCGGGGGCTGAGCTTCCGGTTCTCAGCCCCTGTGTTTAAACATGTGAGCCATCACCACCGCAGCCTTCTTGGGTGGATGTTACCATAACTGCACCATGTTGGGATCACAGCTCAGCCCTGTACCGAGAACTGACCCATTCTGAAGGCAAACGATGCTGAAGTTTCTGCCTGGGGAAAAAGAGCACCACTGTGCCCACATGTCCTGCTGCCTGACTTCCCTTCACCACCCAGCCCCTTTCTGGAATACACTGTCACACGCAAGTCACTGCCTCTCCGAGCCCTTGCAGAGGTGCTGAGGTGACTCACCCCACTTCCAAGTAACTCCCTAAGAAGATGTGTATTTATTCCACAAATCACGTCATCCAATCCCAGAGAGGAAACTCCTCTGGCAGCTGGGTTTCCTTCAGACTGGTGCTTAGCCATGTGACTTTAGTCTGAACCCCATTTAAGGCATTTCCTGCCCACACTTGAAGTGAGTGTTTTCCAGTTATCTCGGGTGAGATGCCATCCTGAAAATCCCCAGGGCAGAGACACCTGATGGAGCTCAGCCACCTCTGTCTTTGCCCTCTGGAAGTCAGCAGCCATAAACATGCCTGCCATTGCCTGCTGTGGGAACCCGCCTGGAGAAATACTAAAATCTCCCTACTCAGATCCAGTGATGCCTCTTTGGTTGTTCCCAGGTGTCCGAAGCCCCCTGGCCCCATGTGCTATCTCTGAAGACTAGCTGTGAATATATGAGCATCTGCTACCAACCTGCTGCCAAGGTGGAGGACACTGATTCAGATGACTACATCAATATCTCCTGCCTGACTCACCCCTCCAGCTGTCCTCCCGAGCCCAAACCTTGATGCCAATGAGTCTTGTCTGTCTGCTGGTTTCCAACACCAGCTCCATCTGTTTTCGGAGTCCTCATTACCTCCCACATCCCACCTTGAGTCTCTCCCTGTCTGATCGCCCTAAGCAAAGCTTAGTCCCCACAGCTATTCTTGCACATTTTTGCAAAACCCTCATAGCTTTCAGGTGGGCTCTGGCCAGTCAGAGCATTTGTTCTGATGTCACCTTATTCCCCTTCAAGTAATGTAACAGGCTATGGGATTTGCAGACTATCTTTGATCACAAGGTTTTTGCTGCCTTGGTTCTAGGGCATGTGGCATTAGGCTGAAGCATAGGCACAGTCGTTGCTTCTGGAACCTTTCCCAGGCCTGGGCCTCATACCAACAGAAGGCCCCTAGACTGCACCGTGAGCGTATGCCTCAGCCCTTGAGCTAGGAAGGGACCTGGTGTGAAAGAAACGCCCCTGGCAACATCTTTGCCCTGATCTCAAGGATGGCACTTACTAGCGAGCTTTACTCATCTTGTGTCCTATGGTAAGGGCAATTTACTTTGATGTGATGTGATATATATGATTCTAAATTTTCAGAACCATATATATCTTTCTATATCTATAAATCCTCTTTAAGCCCCCCCTTCCTTGATACTCATAAGGAGACTGATTCTGGCATTGCCCCTCTTTTAGAAATAGTTGTTGTCTCCTCTTTATCCTTCCATTCCCCAGCACTGCTATTTGTGCTCATACCTTAACCATCTTAGCAATGACCATTACATCTCTCTGCTTTCAGAAATGCACCTTATCCCTTTGGGGAAGGAAAGTGGCCTGGGATCCCTGGAGGTCCAGGTGCTCTGAAATAGCACTGTATTGCGGAGAAAGAGGCATCCTATCTCATCCATATGCTCTTGCACTTAAATTCTCTAAGCAAGGGCATAGGCAGACATTGTATCTTTAGACTGAAGTCAACTACAAAACTCAGCCAGAGCCCGAGACTAGAGAATGCCCAGTCTTGTGGTTAGGAAGAAGGTCTCTCCCAGACACAACACTTACCCTCACTAGCCAGAAATAGAAAGGAAAGACTGCCAGACTTGAGATTCCTGCCTTTTATTAGCAGGGCGTGCCATCACAGATTAGAGAGTCCGTCCACGTGCAATGACACCATCAGCAATGTCAGCTTGACCCTGGCACCCCCTTGAGTGGCAGATAAGGGAAGAATAAGTAAGATTAGAGGGGAGGCACCCAAGGGGAAGGGATGGTGGAGAGGGTGGACAAGAACTGTTAAGGTTTAGTGAGCTGCTTTGTGTTGGGCACTTAACACATATCTTTTATCCTTTACATTTCAAACTGGTGCCCTCACCCCCACCCCACTGCTCTGTTCTTGGAGATGTCATGACAATGTGATGTCCATGCCCGAACATTCAACTTTGTATTCCAGCATCCCTCATTGTTCCTCAACAATTCAAAGATGGCAAAAAAATCCAGTTTATTAAGCATTTACTGAGCTCCACATGGGTCCAGGGATCATGGAGGATAAAATAGAAGCATGGGGCATTGTCTCTGGTCTCTTCACAATACTTAGTCTCACAAATAAATGTAACATCAGTTAAAACACTCACAGGAATTAAATAGACTTGTAATAAATACAGAAATCTTCATAGATTATTTGCAGCATCCAAGGAAACCTTCCATGACTGTTGTTGGGGCCACTTAAAGAATGAAATCTCTGAGGATAAGCCTGGACCAAGAAGGGGACCTGTGGTCAAGGGTGTGGAGTGCCCAGAAAACATCACAGGAAGGGACACTCTTTTGAAATGACATGGAGAACAAGGAGGGTATTCTGTCTAGGCATTTAGAGCTGGTAGAACTTTTGCATCCAGGTCAGAAGAATGTCCACTTCTCCAAAGGCTTTGGTCTGAGCCGCTTCTGTGTCCAACTAAGGGAAGAGTTGAAAATCTGCCATGTTAGCTACAACAATAAGTTTTCTCCCAACCCACCACTCCTAGAACTGGCTGGCTCCACATCACAGGATGGCATCACAGCTTCAGCCACACATCACTTGTCCCCCACTATGTGTGTTGCCTGCATTGGGGTTGAGGACAGTGGGCCAGTGGGGTAGCAGCAGGTCAGAAACAAGGGAAAAGCATTCAGAGACCTGACAACAAGATTCATAGAAAGCAGTGCGGGTGGATGTGGTCCACCTCCTGCGTCCATGTGCAGATGAGGATACTGAAGCCGGGGTGGTCCCTCTCCTTTGTGTGTTACTACCCCTTATTTATTTTTAGGCCCACATATCTGTTTCTTTAAAAAGTGATCAAAATCATATGTTTTAAGAGCTGGGATGAAATTTGGACTTTCTCCGTTGTCTTAGTTTGTGAAAAGGTCATATATTTCCTCATGATATTTTTTTCTTACGAACTAGACCGTTTGAGCACTGTGGAAAATACCATGCATGGGGATGTGTATTGGAAATTACAGGGAGGGGAGGTTACAGGGGTAGTCTCCCTTCTTTCTCCCCTACATCTGACTCCAATTGCCTAGCTGAAATACCCATAAACTCTCTCACAGGAAGAGAAATCACAGGTTGTGAAATCAAATTGGAGGGAAATATAATAGGATTTTAATTTGAAAACTGGCAGGAAAACATAGTAGGTAATTTGTGGTGCTTAAGCAAAGTAAATACTAATTCATGTAAATATACCTGTGCTCCTGCTAAGGCAGGTGGCTTTGGGGCAAGCCTGGTGGAGTCAACTGCACTGAATTCTGCATTTGGTCTCTGAGGTACCATTCTGTGACAGTTCAAGCAAGCCCTGGACTCTTGGCCTTGATTACCTGTTTAAATGCTCCCTGGAACAGCAGGAACCGCCTGCGTGCACTCTCACTAGTGAAAAACATCATCTTTTCCTGCTGGATAACAGAAAAAAAATGTGCCAAGTGTTTGGTAGGAGCAAAGGTAAGCTCCCACTCCTTCCCAGTGATGGTGGAGGGGTCCTCAAGGCCAAGGAGGACAGCACCAAATCCACATCCTCAAGGAGCCAATGCAGAACACCTGCCATGTGGCCGGGCCCCCTCTAATTCCCACAGCAGTCTGGCCAGGTAACAGTGATCATTCCATTCTATAGGTAAGAAAACTGAAGGCCAGAAAGGTTTGAGCACCTTGCAAAGAGTTAACCAGCTGGTTAGAAGCAGAGCTAGACTTCAACCAAAGACTATTGGTGTTCAAAGCCTATGCCCTTTCCCCGATTGTGGAATAAAAGCCAGAACCAGATACAGAGAGAGGAGTCCTCTCCAAACACCATTTTCCATGGGCCCCCATCCTAACTTTGTTCTACTCACACTGGGTTGCAGTTTTGACAGGATGACAATAAAATTGTTGGCCAGAGTAGAGAATGACTTCTGGATCCTGAATTCAGCTGCCTTCTTATAGTAGTTTTTGAAAACAGTATTCAAGTAGAAGTTCAGCAAGGCATGGATAAGGTAACAGCTCTCATCGTCCTGGAGAGGGTCTAGGTCATGGTGGAGCCAAAGACCTCTGCCCACCCCAGCCCTGGATAAACAACCCACGTGTTACCAAGGCAAGATAAGCACAAAAGAGGCAGGGATCTTCTAGGAGATACTGATAACATTAGATCTGAAAGGGCCTTTCGGGGGCACAGAGAGTGGTGCCTTTGGTTTCCAGGAGAAACCACAGACCCAGAGAGAAGGATTTGCCCAATCACACAGTTAGTCAGTGGCAGACACGGGCCTAGTTCCCAGGCCTTCTGACTCCCCATCTGCTTAAAACTTTTTTCTCTACCCTATGACCTCCCTAACAGTCCTGTGAAGTGATAGACCCATGTGGTGATAGACCCTGAAAAGCACCTGGAACTTGGTGGTTGTGAGTTGGCAGGAAAAGGAACTGGAAGGAGAAGAAAGGGGGAGAAAAAGAAAACACACCAGCATCCGTGAATGCAGGGATTGCTCTCCAGCCCCCTCAAGCACACAGAGTAAAGACTACAGGGATCAGGGAAGTATGAGTGTGCTCACTGGATGACCAGATAGGTGATAAGAAGACAGAAATGGGTGAGGAAAAAAGGCTGGAAACAAAAAGACCCAAGCAGATACAGAAGAGAAAGATTGATGGCAACTCTTTAATATCAATCGTGTAGACAGATGTGTAGGAGCCTTGACCTCCACCCACTCCCCATGCCACCACACACGTGCCCGCATAACCCAGGTCCTGGGTGATGACCTCATGCATTAACTTCTGGGCCTACTGCCCAGCCTTGTCCTGTGTAGGCCCAGTGTGAGGCAGAAATGAAGTCTTCTGTCAGCCTCTCTAGACAACCCCTGACCCCCACCTCCAGAAGACCAGCCATAGTCTTTCCCCAAGGAAATTTGATTACCGAGATGTTCTGCAGAACCTCCCTCCGCAGCAGCCGCACACTCTTGATCTTATCCTGAGATTGCTTTGGGAACAGAAGGAAGAGATGTCTCCAAGTTAGGGGTTGGGAGCAGCATAGAAACCAACCTTGGAAATACATGCTGCTTCCCCAGACCCCTAAATCTCTGTATATGAGATCTCAGAGCCCCAGGAAAGGCTGGACTGAGCTGGCCTCTCAGGTGAAGGAATGGGTTTCAGCCACAGAAAATCACCAAACTTGTCCCCCAGGGGCAGATGGAATCCCAGGAGTCCTTAGAACCTTCATCAGGGACCTGTTTGATTCCTTTGGTCATTTGACACAGGAGGAGGAAATAACACTATTTGGTTTAAGTGCCTCCATGGAGCAGGCTTTACCTCTTTATTCCATGAGAGTGGGGGTGTGCTTCTGTCTGTAGGGGAAGCTTCTCTGGAGCTTCCCCTGTAGCCCAGTAACTCATTCAGTTTTTGAATTCGAGTCCAAGAATCATTGAGAGGAAGGAGCTTTCGAGATCCTTTGTCCTATCTACCTCCTCGTTGTGCTAATAAGGAAACTGATGGGGCTGGAGTGTTGTATGGGTTGGTTTCAAGGTCAAGATTATACATAAGTTTTCTGTCCCCAGTGCAGCACTTTCCCCTCCCCAGGCTGCCCCATCGAGCTCCCACTTTCTGCCTTGCTTCTGGATTATTCTTTAAGGAGTTTAGTGATTTTGTGAGGGTGCATATTAGAGCACTTGCAGTCACAGGAGAAATCCACAGTCAAATCACACAAGCTGCCCAATCCCATCTCAGCATTAACCATTCTTTCTACCTTTAGCCAAGGCATAAGCACATAACAGATGGCGGGATCCTGGCTAAAGAGTAGGTGAAAATTCTAGTAGGCGGGACTCAAAGGACTTCTCATGACTTCCCATTGACGAAGTCTCATGTCTCCCTGGGATGCAGATGAAGCCTGGATGAATAGGCTCCATTCTTTATTCCTCCTGGGCTGTCCTTATTTTTCTATAGATCGACTACCTCTTTCTGAGTCTCAGTTTCCTCATGTACAAGAGAAAATATGGCTTGTGATACCTCTGACTTTATAAAGTTATTCTGTAGGAAAATAATTAGCATGCTAGAAAGAGCTCCATAATCAAAATATTATCCTCCCCAACACAGTAACCCTCACAGCTGGGTCCAGAGTGACACTTCACTCACCACAATGTCCTTCATGGCCCGAAAGGCTTCCCACAGTTCCTGGAAAACTACTCCCTCCACTTGGCAGGGCCCAAGTTGGAATTCTTGTCCTTGGACTCCTAGACCCTGGCTCCAGATAAACAGGATGAGACTCAGGCAGGGAAGGGCAGCTTTCTGCACTGGGGAGCCCATCCACAGCAAAGGAAGGACCAAGAGGATCCTGCTGAAAGAAAGGGAGGCAGCCCACTGAGGCAAGTCCTCTGGCCCAGGAGTGGTATGCCCAGAAATAATGCTGCTTGATCTGCCTCAGCCAGCCTTGGACCCACAGACAGGAAATGTGAGACAACTGTGGTTTCTCAGGGTTAGAATATTGCAAACATGTGGTGCACTGGGGTGGGAGGGCAAGGACTTTCTGCCCTCATCTCCTACCTGCTGGTCTCGCTGTCTCACTATGTTCCCACTCCAAAATGCCAACCACATCACACACGCTCCGCACCTCCTTCTTTACCCCTACAGTTCTCTCTAGCTGACAACGTGCTGGTCAGAATTTGATTAAGAAGAATGAAGAAATGCGTAGGAGAGGCGGGTATTACAATGTGCTGAAGAACATGCATTGGGAGCCCAAACTCAGGAGGATAGAGCTTAACTAAGTGTTTGCTTGTCTGAGTTCTGCCCTTCAGGCACCAGGCATACCTGGGCAGGTCTTCGTCTCATCCCAGGCCATCTCTGACTCCTCATCACGAGGGATCTGAGGGATTAATCCTCACTCTATCACCTCAACTGACGACTCACTTTTGACCCTAAGAATTAACTTTTCAGGTAACTGAACAAGAGGGAAGAATCTCATTTCTGGATGAATCGCCTTAAAACCTTCCACTCTATTTCCAGTTGGGAATGACTATGTGAAGAGGCCCCAAGCTAGAGGAAGATGACCCATTATCTATTATCATAACTGTATGCAGAGCATTCCTCCTCCCTGCCTTCTTTGTTTTTTGCTTTTCTTCTTCCTTCCCTCCCTTCCATTCTTTTTCCTCTCTCTCTTTTTTACTTCCTTCTACAACCATTGAAGAATCTTTCATATTCCAGG